TCAACAATTTTCTTTCTATTTCTTTCAATGTTTTTTTCTGTGCATATATTTTCTTCAGAGAGTTGAAAGAAGAATGTAAACGCAGCATAGAATCCCAACCAACCATTCGATAGGTATTTCGACGCGTCGATTTTGGCTTCCGTTGGGCATCAAAATTTCAAATCGACCCCTGGAAGTGCCATTTTCCGATGGGTTGTTTTTACTAGCAGTTTTCAACCACTCGAATAGTCTTTTCCGATGGATCGGAATTTCATTGAAAAAAAGAATTTTTATTCGATAGATGTCTCAATTTCGAGTTGTTCCAACCCATCGACTATAGATTTCGAGTCGTCGAGTCCTAGCAAACATATGCGATGAACTAGATTTGAACATAAGTATTTACGATCCACTTGTATCGAACCATTGATCTAAATATGAACTATTATTCGTATGTCAAAACGACCTTTTTAGTTCATAAGAAGATAGTACTTATGCTTTTTGATTTTTGATTTTATTTTTTGAAAACTGAAAGTAATATTTTTTGTTCAGAGAGAAAAATTTATTTTAAACATTAGAAATAATATTTTTCACCCAGAAAAAGGATTCTTTTTGGAACACTAAAAATTATGTTTTTTATCGAGAAAAATTTTTTTATTGTGAAAAAGATTTCATCAAGAAGGAAAACTTTTTATATCTCTGTAAGTGACAGAAGAACTTTTTTTATTTAAGATACCGTATAAATCACTTATTGAATAAATATAACGTGCAATACGTGATAAATTGACCAATTTACACGTGGATATTCATTATAACTATGTCTTAGTCAAAAAAGCAGGCGAATTTCAGTTTTAGTTTCAATTGGTGGACGATCAATTTTGATCAGAAAATTCCGAAATTAAGGTAAATTATGAAGCAAACTCGAATAATATTACTAAAGTTATTAAATAAAAATAAAGAATATTCTAAAATTGGATTTTGAAGTTTCACCTGATCAAGATTATAGATTCTGTCGAAACTGTTATGATGATCGTTTTTACTCTTTTGAAGCACTCAAAATGATTCTTTCAATATGTTAGAGGAGTCGATAGTATTATTTCGATAGGTGATTTCTCTCGGAGTACTCAAAACTTCGATGAGTACCGAGGTGTCGAAATATATACGACGAGTCGAAGATAAGTCGTCGATAGGACGCAGTGTCCGAGTCCTCGAAATTCGATGGGTGCCGAGGGAATCGAAATTGAAACAGAACGAACAAAATATATATATATATATCAAATTTTTGACCGCTCGTCGCACCCATCGTATGCTTTTTTTTGTTTGCTTGGGATAAATCTATAATTTCTGGGGAAACCAAACCGACTCTGATATATAACGAACACGATAACAAACTATTTAAATATGAATACTTTCAATTGTGTGTGATGTAGACAAAAATGTGCTAACTGCTTATATTTTTGAGTCATATCGCTGACAAACCAAACATTTGTACTTTTTCGCTGATTTTACTTTCACATTTCTCTTTCGTTACGCAACATGTTCTTCAAATTTTTGTATTCTACTGATTTAAAAGAAAACGATTTGAGTAGACGTTTAAATACATATTTAAGCTCATATAACAGTCGACGAAAATCAAACCAAAACATTGAAATCTCGTTTAGATAAATATGTCACCAAAAATGGTTCGTGATCACATAAGGTATTCGTAAAAGGTCGAATGTTGTTATTCATAGTTTCAATTCAAAAGAACCGATAAAATTTCAAGAAGAATGTTCGAGGTCATCCTGAGTATCTCAAATGCCTGCCGAAAAATTAGACATGAATTACCATTATTCGGTTACTCACTCTTCTCGTCTATAACTGCAGAATGTAAAAACATATCACAGCTGCAATTCGCAGAGCACGAGTTCGAAGTTAACAACAAAGACTATTGTTAGAGTGTGATATTATGACTGGTTTAGCGATAGGAACCAAGTCCGAATAACAACAAAATAAAAAAAGGTAAGTCTATGTAGGATTCAAATCATGTATCTTCTGCTATCTGGATGGATGTTCTAAGCCAATTAGACGAAGAGAAACATTGAATCTCTGTCTTATGTACACACGTAAAAACGCTGAATGTAATAGTCGTCGCTGCTCCTGAATTTCAATCGTCATCAACCTCGTTTTTTTTTATTTTCTTCTTCTAAGAATGCTGAACCATATCGGGAAGAGACGTATTCTACGAAGTTAATTCTTATCGATCGACTCTTGCTTTTGAAAGACTAAATAATGGACCTTCTGAGTGTGGAAGCCGGTGTTGGTATGGATGTATAGATGTAGGTGTGCGTGTGGGTTCAAACATGACAAAGACATCCACACCCTGTTTTGTACGTAATAGAAACTACCTGCTCGAAAAAATAGTAAAGACTTTGACATTATTCTAGAAAGAACAAAAGTCTAGTATTAAGGTTATTTCATATTGATATATGCACTCGTACATGTAATTGTTGATAGAGAAAAGAAAATTAAATAAGCAAACTGATAACACTATACAAACATTGGATCCTTTTCGAATCTTTTTCAAAATCGTATTGTTTTGCCATAGAGTACTTTCAATTAATAATGTAGGTAATAGTTCACACGTCTTTAAATTTCCTTAGTTTGCCATCAGTTCAAATTTAATCATTTATGTTATCGCTGGTATTATTACATTTGTTTGCCTAATTATCCTTTTCATTATTGATATTTTCAATGGTTCTGTAAATTGAAATAGAGCAATCATTACAAATGCCATTGATGTATCAACAAATATGTATGCAATTCGAAAATGATATTTTGGTGGTGTCGTAAAAAAAGATATAAAAACAAACAATGCATAAGGAAAACCAATCGTAACAATACCCATGACAAGAATCACTATTCGACGAACCATTTTTAATTCAAGTTGTGCTCGATATAATATATTAGCTGGTGTAACATGTTTTCTCATATCTTGAATATATCGAACTAATTTGAAATAGATTAAGATAATTAACAAGACAGGAATCATATAGACACATAGTGCATTATAAATTGTTAAGAATGAAAGTTGAAGTGGTATTTGACATATTTGATTATCGATATTATATTTAATTCCATGACTAAATACATATGGTAAAAGACATATAAAGCTAAAAATCCATGTCGCAAGAATAAGATAAACTTGAAATCGAATTGATTGCCAAAATAAACGAGTTGGATAAATAACAATGATATATCGATAGATAGCTTGTAATAAAAAAGAATAATTTTGTAAAATAGTTACTATATAACCCAAATAGCCTCGAAAGATACAAAGTGAATCTGGATAGTAAATTTGATGAAAATCATTTTGAAATGTAAACAAAGCCATACCAAGCACATCACTTCCAAACATAAATTCAGCTAAACACGAATTTGCAACTAGCATCATTGGTACTGTGTGACATGTTTTATCAAGAATAATAGTCAATAGAAAAATTAATGCTAGTCCAATGGCCAAGACAGTACACATAATCATAAGAATATCAAAAGGAATAAACCATGATTCAATATTGATTATAGTTGAATGATTCTCAAATGTCATTGCTTCTTCGAGAAAATAACTAGACGAGAGAAAATATCATGAAGCTTGTAGATTTCAATAAATTAATTCTCTTGATCAGCTGCGCACTATCTTATAACATTCTGAAACGACTCTGAAAAATATAGAAATAATATTTTTTTTCTCTTACAATTCTCATATACAAAGTAACGCGGTTATTCGACCAATGGATGGGGAAATGTCATTATTAAAATAGAATTACTTGTTTCTTTTTCAGTTTTCAACATAAAAAGAAATGAGTTCAAAAGACAATATTATATTGATGGTGTCACGATTTGACATCTAAATGAAAGGTATCAACAGCTTAAAAAAAATTTGATTATACTCGCATGATAAAACTGTTTCACATGCAAGTTTTTCAATAGCATATACCTTGGTAGGGAAGAAAAAGAAAATATTTTTTCTCGCATCATGATACAAGTAATTTGAAAAGAAATACTTTCAAAATTTTTATTAACTCTTAGAAGACTGTTTTTATAATATTAAGTGTTTGTGTAAATGTTTTACTAATGGAAAAGAAGTTTTTGCAAGATCCTCATTAATCATTCGAATATCTTACAAAGATATGACATTAGATTTTCTTTATACATCACTCGACCTTGAATGTATATTACTGTAATGAAGGTGCTAATATTTTTGATATTTGTTATGAGATAAATAAAAAGTAAAGGTGGTGACTAGGTGTGGAGTGGAGTGTAAGTGACGGGAACAACCAAATTCATGTCTGCACCCATCATAAACAAAGAGTTCTTTTTTGGTAATGTACGCACATCAGAATTGATCAAGTTTTAAGAGAATCCCCGTGTTTTTCCAACAATCATTGATCAGATGAAAGTTATATGAGAATAAAGCTCTAATTTCACATACTCAGAATATATATCACTAATTCAATTTTAGTTGTGTTTTCACACTTTTTTCCATAATTTTCTTCGTATCTACAAAGATGACGAAGAGAATTTTCGAAAAATGCCTCAAGTCTATTTTGTAAATAAATTTTCCATCTATTAGAAGAAAAGATCAAATAAAATGCGTTTCCTAACATCTCAAACGATATTTATTTCAATATCAGTAGAAGAAAAATATCCTCTTGCAACACACTTTAAACAACGACATGATGTTGGTAGAAAAAGACCTAGCGGAGACATGTGAAAGATATTTCACACTACCCATTAGCTTTGCTGATCCTTACTCTGCAAAGAACTATGTTAAATTTTTCTTTCGTAAAAGCGTGACAAAGTTACAATATTGTTATTAACATATCCCGA